CCAGCCCGCTGAGAAGCAACTGCTGCAGCAGCCACAGCACCACCGCAAGCAAGGACAGGTAGAGCACCAGAGGATGGCGCACTTTGTGCCCGCGCCATTGCGGCATTGGTGCCCCGAAGGCTTGGGGCATTGGTGGCTGATGGTGCCGCAACAAAAGCATCGGAGGCAGCATTCAGCAGCGCAAGCCCACCAGCAGCTGCACCCGCCAAGGCCATGTTGGAGGGTCTCTGCATCTTCTTGCGTTTCAAGATTGCTCAATGTAGAACGATGAAAATGCAGGAACCAACAGCTTGAGCCAATTATGCCATTATGCGCAGTGTCACAACACCTTGCACCACAAAGCAAGCATGCCGCATGCCCAAAAAAGAAGCACACACGCACAACATCCATTACTTGCTTCTACTCCGAAAGTACGGCGCGGATTCATGTGCAGGTAAGCATGGGAACCTGCAACTTGTCTTGCAGCTTCTCCTGGATGTCCAGCAGGTGCTTTACCTGCAGTTTGGTTGCGGAACTTACCCTGCTGAAAAGAAACGCACCAAATAACAGAGCAGCAAGACACAAAGTGGCACAAAAAGACCTGCAACGGGCCCGAGCGCTGCCGCCGAACCGCTGCTTGTCGAAGATCGTCCACGAGCCTATCCGAGTCGAGGCCCTCTGGCAATGCCATGGTGGAATCGGCCGGTGAGTCGGCGAGCAGCTCGAGCTGAGACAGCACCGTAAACGATCCAATCGGTAAGCATTGCAGCCATCAGCACTTTTGACAAAATGGTCTTGTTCCATTGCTTGTCTTGCTTGGCTTTTGTTTAAATGTTGTTTTACTTTGTATTTATGCATATGTATGCTTATTATGCCTTTCTTGTTTCTTCCGCTGGCGGTTGATGACCTAGCCTGCACCTGTTGCTTCGTGAGGCAATCTTGGAAGTTCTCGCATTGTCTCAGAGTTAAGGTGGCACTGAGCACGTGACCACCAGAACTGTTCGGCCTCAAGCAAAAATGTCCAGTCAGTTTGTTCACTGCTTGCAGTACCCAAGGTCAAAGCCAAACACTTTCCGCCGGAGACCGTGGAGAGTGCCTCACGGTTGAAGGTCAGCAAGCATTAGTACGATGCCCTTATGACCTGACAAGCTTCATTCCCACAACAACGCTTAAACAAGCCTCCGTCTGGATTTGTGCAGAAATGTTATCTATAGAGCTTATGTCTTGGCTGTCAGACTTTGTTCCGCAGGTATCCTTGCATCCTGCTCTCGAAGAAATCAAGGGGCCATTTTGTGCCGTTGGCGTCGATTGCCCCACCATCTTGAGTGGCAGGTCTCCTTGACAGCTTTCGCTGCGGACCATTGAAGCCAACTAATGTTCAGGGAGGAGAATGCTTCGTCTCGAATGTACACTGTCTATCGACTGGCTCACCACAGTCCCAGAAACTGGAGAAGTGTCATACTATCTCCTCTCAGTTGGCTCAACGCTCATACTGGATGGCGGCGCGCGTTCCCGGCTCCATGATAGGTTTTATGAGGTCGTTGATGACCTTCACATGCTCTGGGTGCGCTGCATAAGCCTCGTAGGCCTCCACCGAGGGGAAGTCGGCAAACCAAGTGCATGTGCGGTTTTTCCCCGCTGGGTGGCTTTGCCCGCTTGGCAGCTTCAAGTCCATGCCAAACCTGCCGATTGATTATCAATCCTCCAATGTCAATACCTACCTTCAATCCAACTAGCTTATCAGTAGCTCGGAACGCAGCACCCACAGGCAAGGAATTGTGAGTCTGATCGCGCCGAACCTGCCAAGGATACAAAGAGTGTTACCACGTCTTACCTGCATGCACACTCCGACTAACAAGCATGGAAGTGGAAACCATTGGAAACCACCCTGTTCGTAAAGGAACATACTCATGCCAGGGTCCATTTTCCACTTCCGTGACAGTGAGTCGGAGGGTACCTGCCACATGCTGTCCCTTCTATAATGAGAAGCTACACAGATCCAATATAAAAAAATAGAAATCTGGGAAATGACATGTCAGTCATCTCACTCTCTGCTAAGAAGCTCAAAGTCCAAAATGCCACAGGTGTCTTTCAGCGCCGCCAGGCCCTCCTTCACCGCCAAGATCTGCTCAGTGCTCGTGGACTCTTTCACGCCAATCATCACCACATGTCGCAAGCCGCGAGAAGCTGCACTCATCATCACCGACACGCGAAAAGCGAGGAGCTCAGACCGAGCGCTCTGCTGGGAAAGCAACCAAGGCACGATGGTGCTGATCTTCGAGCCAAGCGCACCGACTGTGAGTTACATGCAAACCGCCTTGCGCTCTGAGGATGAGCAAAACCGATTGGACGTTAGTGGCCAAGTAGAAAGAAAGAAAGAAAAGAATGTTGCGAATGGACTACTACCATGAACATCCGTAACATCCGCTGCTGCTTCCAGTTTTATCAGAATCGCCAGTGAGCTTCCCGAATCCCGCTGGCGAGATTTGCCAGGATGGTCACATTGTGGTTTTTTTTCGATCTACTTTGTGCTATCCTACCAAACTGCCTGTCATTTCATTCAGGGGCAAGTAAGGAATCCTCGTGCGACTCCTGAGCAGAGGAGGCACCAAAATGCACCAAAGCCAATGAATCTAGGGAAATAGCTGCATAGCTTGCTTGGTCAAACAAATTCAACCAAGCCAACAAGTAATATAAATTTGCAAACCGCCGAGTTGATCCGAGTCGAAAACATTTAGATAACCGACATTGATTCTCGGCCTCCTCCCGGGTGGCACCAAAGAGCGCACCAGCTGCTTGAAGGACTTTGAGGATGAAGTCAATCAGAGTCGCAATCCTCATGTTTCTGTGGCTACACCAACTTGTGACATCGAAATCTGACATGTGGAAGGCATGAGCTGGTTGGTTCTTTGCTGTGCATCTTTGCAGGGAGTTCTAGGGAGCAAGGCGCACCCCAACCAACAATTGGAGCGCGCAAAGAAGACGAGTTTTGTACGTATAGGCGGCTGCGGCAGCTGCTCTGTAAAACACAATAAGGCCATGGCTCAGATTTAGAACTTTGATCCAGCTACCCTCATCCAGCCCCTCCATCTCGAAAATGAATACACAAACCAGCATGATCACCTCGGGGTCTCCACGGTTGTCTGTCTTGGAGAATCATGCACCGTCTTGCACGCCTCTTGGATCAACACACACACACACACATTGTCACACACTGTCACACATGGCTACAACATGCGCCCAAAATTGGTGCGCAAACGGTCTAGAGCCTAGAAGAATTACAGTAGGCTCGCTCTCAGAGGCTCACATCTGCACAGCCTGCAGCCATCGAATAGCAAATCTCAGGGCCATGTTGGTCCAGTAGCTGGGACGTCGTCATGAACAAGCCTGCCTTGAGCGTCAAGCGGCGCACGGTGGCAGTGGCAATGGAAACCGAAAAAGTCTATACATCTCTGTTCGGCCCTACATGGTGTGGCTCCAGACGGGGAGCAAAGAATGCCAAAAGGATCACCACAGTACCCAGCATCGCCGACATCATAGCCAGGCCTTGCACCACCTGAGGCATGCTACAAATGCCTGAGTTGTTCCCCAAACAAACCCCCGCTATCCTCTGCTATTAATTCTTCATTGCTTCGTCTTGAGAGAGATTTCACAGTGTACCACTAACACCTGGCAGGTGAGATTCCCAGCGTGGTGTCTAAGTGGCTCACAAAGGATGCACCCACATCACCAGTGTACTGCCAGAACCACCAGGAGGCGGTTTGATCGCAAACATCCCATGCAAAAAGCACCGTGAAGTAGAGCACGCTGAACTTCCTGCTCGACTTGGGCCAAATTAGTCACCCAAAAAAGGGATTATATATCTGCATATGTATGCACACACACACACGTATTGTGCATGTACATATAAGAGTACATATTACACGTGAAATGGCCTTGACAATCAATGAGTGTGTCCTCTCTCAAGCGTGTCTCTGTCTCTGGTGCAGAACAAGATTTTCTCCCTTGACGGGCCAGGGTCCTGCGTCGACTGAGACGTTCCTTCTGACAGCGTTGACCCTGCGCCCAAACACAAGTCAAGCCCGTGAAAGCGAAGATCAACAGCCTGGGAATTGGCTTCCGCAGAGTCACAACCCATTCCGACTTTCCACAGGGTCACTGACAAAACCCACAATCGACTGGCAAGGAGCGGCACCAAAACATTTGGGTACCAAAGATCCACATTGCAGCAGGTCAGCAAATCTGTGGTGCTGCAGTAGCCTGTGGCATTGCTTGCAGGAGCGACTGTGAGTGTTTCAACAGTTAGCACAGCTACAGTCTGAAGCTTTTGGGGTTTCTCCACTGTGGCCGCTGTCCCAATTCAGGAAGCCCTTGGCTTTATATAAACAAATCTCGTGGGCTCTGCACGAGTCAGAGCCTGAACAAGGCCTCGCTACTAGGAGCAAGGGCATCGCTATTAGTAACAAGAAGCTACTAGTAACAATCAAAGGCATCGCTACTAGGAACACCTGAACACGGCCTGAAACTTGCATCCATTGCCCATGGGCAAACTTCGCTCATCTGGGTGGCCCCACCAGCGGCGCAACTGAAGTCCTGAGCTCTGATCTTCTTGGCATAGCCCTCCGGACAAGAGAAGCTTTCGCAACTGCTCAAACAACAGGTCTCGAAGCCTGGGCGGTAGGTCTCAAGAGTTGGACGTTCGTTTCCTGCAAAGGTCTTCTGTTCTGTTGGTGTTGTTGTTTTTTTCTCTGTTCTGCCCACTCCTATCCGCTCCGACTGAATGAAGTAGGCGCCTAGTTGCTCAATGAAGTGAAGAGGTAAGCTACTAGGAGAAGTTCGCTCCTAGCTAGGAAGCAGGATAGCTTATGCTGTTCATTTAATAATTTGGTTCTTAGGTATTTAGTATTTAGTGAAACTTAACTTCTGTGACATTCGGTGATTTACACAATACATTTGGAGTTCGGTGATGTTTGGAACATTTGGAATATGCGTTGCCCGTACTCAATTAACATTGACAAGCACCAAGCACCCAAGCGTGAAGAGCGATTGGAGTGTACCCTTTGAAGGGTGCCGGCTACTATCTATAGGCTGTTTAGGCGGCACCCTTCAACAAATGCATTGCATGCATCTGCATTCATGCCCAAATCTAAGTAATTATCTTAAATCGACTCCATCTATATAATGTAGTCCGGTGCCTCCAGAATGTTTTGGAAATTTGGGAAATGTGGAGCAAGTGATAAGGGTCCGACAGGACTGGTCGGCCATGGGAAGTATGAAGTCTCAATTCTATCAGAAATCGCAGGAGTCTCGTCCAATTCTTGCATCTGCCGCGGCACACGGCATATGCCTGCAAACCAGCTCAGCAGCATCATGTCGCAGCATTGCGCTTGCTGGACACTGGAAGCCCAAACACATCACTTGCACCTTGAGTCACCATCACGGTGCATCACGGTGCATCACGGTGCACTTGTCCAATCGCTCTGCTAGTGTTCACTGGTTTGGGTGCTTGTCTTCCAACTCTGTGCCAATGCAATCCTAGGGGCCGTAGTGGTCGATGTCTCCGATGTAACTGCCGTCCTCAAAGTGGCCGTGCACTACGCCCCGACCGTTCGTTTGGAAAATCCATCCGATGCTCGTGGCAAAGATATACAGTGGAGGACAGGCAGTTAGAATATAAAATTCAAATAGTTCCGGTCTACATTGATGCCCCAAACCTTCCAAAATCGATGACCCTGGGGATGACCCTCGCAGACAGAATATGGGCCTTTCAGAAAGCAGGGGAACATATTCTAACTGTCAGTCCAAAACCAGGATACCTGCAAGAGA